ACCCAGGCCCCACTGGGATCAAAATGGCTTTTCCCATCAGAGGGGAAGAGACACACTGGGGATATCCGGGTAGTGGTGCGGAACAAGGGGGTGTTGGAGCCGCACCTCACACCTTCCCCAGAGAACAGTGGAAGCAGCCCGGGGGCCAGAGGAGAGCATCCGGGACCCCGGGACTGGGCCGGGCCTTCCCAAGCCAGGCATGAAGCACGGCAAGAACACAGATCACATTCAAAACACATTCCTGCAAGGCAATAACCTCCGTCAGGAGTCAAACAAATGATAATCTAGGAAAAAATGTTTGCAGCACGTAATACGAAGGATTAATTTGTCTGACGTTCATAAACAGCCCAGTAGAAAAACAGGCAAAAGATGCAGACAGCTCCCAGAAAAGGCAAACAAACAGTTCTTAAAAACATATGGAAAGACCATTAATCTTCACTTATAAAGACAAAATCAGATCAAGATTCATTGAGAAACCCTTTTCCCTAACAGACCGACAAACAAACACGCAGCACGTGGGCGTGAGGACAAGGGAGCAGGGTCCCCTGCTTGGAGAGGGTGCACGGGGCTATTTTGCAACATCCAGTAACGGTACAATTTCATTTCCAGGAACCTCTCACACTTGCAAAACGATGCGCGGGCAGGTCATTTCACTGCCGTGTTGTTTTTGTAACAGCAAGAAGAGGCTCGTGTCCACCCGTGGGGGCAGCTGCAGATGGGGGCCCCCAGGGTCTGAATGAGAAGTGAGGACCCTCCCCACACACACCCTGCTGCAGAACTTGCAGCCTGTCAGTGTGCAAGCCAGCAGCCCTGGGGCACCAGGAAGAAGGGGGGAAGGGAGGAGGGGGAGGAAGGGGGAGGGGAAGGGAGTCAGGGCAGGGGGAGGCAAGGAGGGGAAGAGTGGGGAGGGAGGAGAGGAGGGAGGAAGGAGGGGGAGGGGAAAGGGCCCTGGAGTCCCATCCCAAGCTTCAGCCTCTCCTGAATCCTGAACCTGCTGACTGTTCCACAGCAAACTAAGTTTCAAAACTAAATGTTTTATTTTATTTATTTATTTATTTTTAGAATTTATTTATTTATTCATGAAACACAGAGAGAGAGGCAGAGACACAGGCAGAGGGAGAAGCAGGCTCCATGCAGGGAGCCCGACATGGGACTTGATCCCGGGACTCCAGGATCATGCCCTGGGCTGAAGGCAGAGGCTCAACCACTGAGCCACCCGGGAGTCCCAAAACTAAACGTTTTAAATAAAAGATAAGGATTTTAAATAAAACCAAAAAAGTGAGAAGGACCTTCATTCACCACTTCAGGGAAATCTCTCCTGAGGCCAAGCCAGCAATTCTCAGGGTGTGGCCCAGGAACCCCTCAGGGGGACCCACAAGATCCAAACTAAGGCGTCCAGTGGTTTCCCACGCTCGCTGTCACGCCACAGGGGACGGGCGCACTGGTGACCTTGCTGTGCCCCGTCACAGCCCCTGGGCCTGCAGCTGCCAGCGCTGCTCCCTCACTAATTTCTTTTTTGGCAGGAGGCAGGGGATGGTGATTTTTTTTTTAATTTAAATAAAACCATGCCATTTACATATACCTGTGATGGGCTTCTAGTTGGCAGTTTTTCACAACTTAATAAATACTCTTAAGTGTCTTAGTTTTACTTTGTAATCCAACCCACACAAACAAGGGCCTTCCGGTGACCTCATTAACCAAAGATTATAAAAGGTTCTGAGACCAGACGGCCTCCCCAGTGACCCCGGAGAAGGGATGCGGGGACAGGCCAGTGGGCCCCCGACGCCACTGCCCCCTCCAGAAGCTGTGTCCACAGGCACCATTGGAGTGGACCAGGGCGGGGGCGCAGCAGGCCTGGGGGACGGGGGGCTGTGAGAGGGGGGCAGGGCCTGGGCACCGCGTGCTGGGGTCACCACGGGTCCAAGAGGAACCTCGAGGGGCAGGAGAGAATGCCCTCCTCTCAGGGACACAGACTGAGCCCAGAGCCGGGGGTGAGATGGAGGCAAGCCCTGTCCCTGGCCAGGCCCGCAGCTACACCTCTCCCCTTGTCCCTCACCCCTTGGGGTTCAGGCTGGAGGCGGTCCCAAGCACACAACCTTCCCCCACCCCATGTTTACAAGCATCCTTCCTGTCTCTGGGTACCATGCACTTTCAGGGGCCACAGAAGCCTCCTCCTCCAGGAAGCCCTCCCTGACGTCCTCCCCCAAGGGTTCCTCGGTCCAAGCCCACCCACCCCCACCCCACGCCCTGGGGCATCTGGGTGAGCATGCGCATACCAGCCCACCCCTGTGGGTCTCAACACCCTGCCCCACGCAGACTGCAGCCCAGCAGGCAAATGAAAGCGCTTTTGGCAACCAGACCACGGCTCCGGAGCACACATGGGCTGCCCCCCGGGGACAGCCTGCCTGTGAACGCAGGTGGAGCAGAAGGGAGCGGGGACAGGGAAGGAAAGAAAGAGGTTGAAGGGGAAGCAGGGACACAGGTGTGAGCACCCCGGCCAGCAGCTCCGCCCCGAGCGGCAAAGGCCCCCATGCATCTGCAAGCCCGCAGTGGACAAGGCGACCCTGCACGTGACGGACACACTCCACAGTGACCTCACACCCCGCACTGGGAGACGAGGACCGGGTGACACCTGTGGGTGGCTCACGAGCTGGCGGGTGCGCCCCGGAGACCCCAGCATCACGGCCGTGAGAAGCCAGGCAGAGGACCGCGCATCCTGGGGGCCAGAGAAGAAACGCTGTGGGGCTGAAGGGCCCCTCTCTGGGGGCCCCTCAACAGTTCTGCCACCAGCAACTTCCCGGGGCCTTTAGGGTCAGACGGGATGGGCGCTGGGTGCTCCCCCGGGGCGCCCCTCCTCGCAGCTCCCCGGGAAGGCGGCGCTGGGGCAGCCGGGCTCTCCACAATCCCCCCCAAGAGGTCGCTCTGCCAAGTGATTAAAACCCACACCTCGCCTTCGCCTTCGCTCCTGCCAGGACCCCCGCGGCGGAAGCTGTCAAACGGGGCTCATGTCCTTCCACGGAGAACCCAGGGGACACGGCGGGGGTGGGAAAAATCAATCCCCAGGAGCACGACCATGAAACTCATGGCTCAGACTCTGAAAAGCCAACGGGGGATCCCTGGGTGGCGCAGCGGTTTGGCGCCTGCCTTTGGCCCAGGGCGCGATCCTGGAGACCCGGGATCGAATCCCAGGTCGGGCTCCCGGTGCATGGAGCCTGCTTCTCCCTCTGCCTGTGTCTCTGCCTCTCTCTCTCTCTCTCTCTCTCTGTGACTATCATAAATAAATAAAAATTTTAAAAAATGTTTAAAAAAAAAAAAGAAAGAAAAGCCAACGGCCGTCCCTACACTCCATCACGACACACACAGGCCAGGACTCGAGCCGGTGACCCAGGTTCTAAAACCTGACCCGCCCTGTGCCAGGGATTCTCCCTCAGTCACCCCACACGGCAGTCAGCTCTGTCCCCACCCTAGCTCTGTGACAGTCAGCTCCCCAGACCCCAGCTCCCCAGACCCTGGGGCACAGCACATTCCGGCCCTTGGGGGGAGAGAGGCTGCTCGCCTTCCCCTGGGCACCCCTGCACTCCTGTCCCCACCCACCGCTCCTATCCTCCCTCACCCCATGGATCCTGTCCCCACCCACCGCTCCTGTTCCCCACCCCATGGATCCTGTCCCCACACACCGCTCCTGTCCACCACCCCACGGACCCTGTCCCCCACCCCACAGATCCTGCCCCCCACCCCACTGCTCCTGTCCCCCACCCCACGGATCCTGTCCCCCACCCACCGCTCCTGTCCCCCACCCCACGGATCCTGTCCCCACCCACCGCTCCTGTCCCCCACCCCACGGATCCTGTCCCCACCCACCGCTCCTGTCCCCCACCCCACGGACCCTGTCCCCCACCCCACAGATCCTGCCCCCCACCCCACTGCTCCTGTCCCCCACCCCACGGATCCTGTCTCCACCCACCGCTCCTGTCCCCCACCCCACGGATCCTGTCCCCACCCACCGCTCCTGTCCCCCACCCCACGGATCCTGTTCCCACCCACCGCTCCTGTCCCCCACCCCACGGATCCTGTCCCCATCCACCGCTCCTGTCCCCCACCCCACTGCTCCTGTGCCCCACTGCTCCTGTCCCCCACCCCATGGATCCTGTCCCCTGCCTACAGGTCCTGTCTCTGCCCAACGCTCCTGTCCCCCAGTCCCCCACCCCACAGATCCTGTCCCCCACCCACTGCTCCTGTCCCCCCCCACCCCACGGATCCTGTCCCTGCCCACTGCTCCTGTCCCCCGCCATGGATCCTGTCCCCACCCACCACTCCTGTCCCTCTCCCATGGATCCTGTGCCTGCCCACTGCTCCGCCCAGCTGATGAGGGGCCAGCGCTCAGCAGCAGCTCTGGTGTCTCTCCCCCTCTAGTATCAGCAGCACCTGCCCCTCAGCAGAACTCACCGCTGGGCCACAGCCCCTGTGTCCCCGGCTGACCTTGGGGGGCCCCCACCCCAGGCAGGCCCCCACAACTCAGCCAACCAGACCCTAAAGGGGCCAGAATCCAGCAAATCAGCCCAGCAACTGTCTCTCCAAGTTGGGGAGGGAGCCACTTGAAGGGTCCCGGCGGGATGTCCTGCACCTTCTGCAACCAGGATCCTCAGGCGGCCAGAGCCAAGGAGCGAGACGACCACCCATCCAGCTTCCAATGGCCACATTCCAGAGCAGAAGAGGCCCAAAACACCCCCCTTGAATTTCCATTCTAGTTGAACCAAAGAAAGGCCCACTGCCAAATCCTTAATTGGCTAAAACAACACAACTAATCAGAACGTGCCATTTCCGCACCTGGAAGGGAACGTGTGGGAGCAGAGGGTGGATAAAAACCTACCGTGCCTGCAAACCTGCCCTCAAACAGGCCGCGTTTCTGTCCTCACTGAAACGCTGCAGGCACACCCCCTACAACGTGAGCGACACATCCTGAAGCGAGTCCCCCAGCTCCAAGGAAGGGCCCAGCTCACCGCATCATCTCATTCCCACAGGCCGCAGGGCTCCTGGGACCCGGCACCGCGTCTCTGCCCCGGCTGGGCTCTGCGGCCGCCTCCTGCCGGCACCCACACCGCATGTCCACACCCGGCACGGCCACGGGGATGCTGCCCCGTCCACCCACGGGCACCACTTCCCAGAGCCCGTCCCCGCCAAGGGGTCCAAAGGTCTGGCAGTGGATTCCCAGGGGAGGGCACAGGACGCCAAAAGCAGGCGGGGAGACCTGGCTTAACCAGACTGACAGGTTGGCACAGCCGAGAAGGGTGGTTTCCCATCCAGCCTGGGGATGGCAGCTGAGTCCATCCTACAGCCTCGAGACTCTGCAACGTGGAGGCCCAAGTGGGAAAGACCAGGGGGATGACAGAGGGCCACCTGCTCAGGCCTGACCCCCAAACTGCAGGAAACAAGGTCCCATCAAGTGGCTCTCCGAGAAGACAAAGACCCTCGGCAGGCAGCCCCCTCCACACACAGCACACCCGCCTGAGCCCTGGGAGCCCGGGCTCCACCCACAGAGTCCCTGAGCCTGTCACATAGGTGACCCCGCAGCAAACACTGCCCTGTGTGGCTCCTGTCAACCACATTCACGCCTGCACAAACTGCTGGCTCTGACCTCACCGGGGCCACCTCACCGGTAAGACTCCAAGCCCGGGTCTGTCTGCGGGGAGCTGGGCCCCTAGTCCGTGTCCTCCCGGCCAGTCCAGGGAGAGGCGACAGAGGAAACCCTGACCTCCCCTCGGAGCACTGCACCTGAACACCACGATCCTACCAGCGCCCACAAACTGCCTTTGGGTCAAGTCGATCCACCTTGATGGTGGGTCAGCAGTTGGAGCAAGGACAGCTGGGGGTGACCGGGCCCTCTGTCAGGGATGGCAGGTTCGTGCTGACTCGCCTCGAGGCCCCTGACTGGCTCCTGCTCCTTTCCAGCTCCCTAGAAGAGCTCATCAAGGGCTCAGAGGGAGAAAAAGAGCACCCTGTTTAAGGACAGGAGACCAGGAGGACCCAGCTCGCCTGCTGGCCGTGGACCTCATCCATGGTCCCCACCCCTGTGGGACAGAGACACCTGTCTCTGGAGCGCCGCTCAAAGGTTCTCTGGGCGCTTGTTTCTCAGCCTCCTGAAAGGTACAGGAGACCCTCACTCAGTCCTCAGGGCAGGGTGGGCCGCGGGATGGGGACAGGGAGGGGGCAGGGGTGTCAAGGCAGGAAAGCTCCCCCCCCAATGGAGGGCCAACCCTAGCAGAGGGCTGAGCCCACTTTCCTCTCCAGGTCCTCCACTCGGGGACCCCAGCGCCTCCGCCACACCCAGACGTTAGGGGCACTGCCTCAGTTTCCCAGAAGCACAGCCAACTCTCACCCAAAGCCTCAAGGTGGGGATCCCAAGGGTGGGGAAACCCCTCAGTACAGACAGATTCACAGCCCAGGACACTGAGGTCGGAAGGGGCATCCCCTCCAGGGCAACCACATGAAAACCCCGTCCCGGCGGCCAGCTTCCCCACACCACCTCTGGGCTGTTCAGGTACCTGAGGGGCTCAGTTCCCCCCCGAAGCCTCACTTCCCGGGAGGCTGCCGGGCGCGTCCGTCTGCATCTGGTCTGCGGGCTGCTGGCCGGGGGTGGGCGCAGAACCCTGTTCCCTCCAAGCTTCACGGATGGCAGCCCGGCCAGGCCCCAAGGCTCCCCCTGGGGTCACGGGGGCTCCATCTCCAGCCCCGACCTGCTCCCTGCCTCAGGAGCCTGTCTCCTGTCCTGGGCCACTTCCACACCTGAGACTCCTGGAGACAACCTGCCCTCCCCGGGGCTTGCCCCCCCGAGAAGTCCCTCACTACCCCCCCACCCCTGCTCTGGCCCCTCCCCTCTGCCCCCCCCACACCTGGTCCCCACACCTGTGTGCCCTCCTACCTGCCCACCTCGCACCCTCTCGGCCAGCCCAGACTACATCTACCAGTCCTTCAAGATCGGGTCACAGAGGGCGCAGGGAGGAGGGACGCGCCCGGGCGGCTGTCAAGCCCCAGGGATGAGCGGCGGCAAGGAGACTGCGGTGGCGGCCCCAGAAAGGCCTAGGCGGGGACATAAGAACTCAGGCGCAGGGAGCTGAGGCCGGGCTGGGACCACACCTGTCACAGGGCATTACCGTCAAGGACCCGGCTTGGGTTCTGTTCTGGTGGCGAGCCCCAGGGCGCCAGGGACGTTGGAAATAACAGACGGGAGGGTCCCACACGAGCACAGCCGCAGTTGAGGCAGCACAGGCCACCCGAGGGCTGGCCCTTCTCGGTTCTACGCCCCTGAGGCCCAGAAGGGGACACACTCAGCCCACCGGCCTCCCCGGCCCCACTCTTGCTGCCTCGGGAGCTCGGCCCTAAGGCAAGCCTGGCCCCTCACCTGCCTCCCCACCAGGTGCACCACAAAGAGGGCGCTGCTGGCAGCCCCCAGCCGACAGGCGCCTGAGCCACGTTCCCTGAGGGACAAGGGCCACGAGTGCCCCTCTGCGTCCCGACACCTCACACCAAGGCTGTGGCATCCAGGAGCCCCCGCCGCAAGCTCTGGCTTCAAGGAGGTGTAGCGGGGTGGCCGGGCAGGGGGGAGGCCGGGCAGGGGGGCCAGCCCGATTCACAAGGCCCTGCACACCTTTCTGCTGCTGCCAATGAGACAACCGTCAGCAAGGTCCCCCGGTTACTTACACAGACGCGCCACTTTCCAGCCGTTGAGGGAACGGTGTGGGTAATACCGATTCCTTTTACGTTTTTGTTAAAATGGCTTCTTTTTTACAAAACCTACACGGGGAGAGTTCTCATTTAGGTTACGCTAGCGCACAGAAATAATCATGGAGTAGGGTTTATATCTCCTAATTATACAGAATTTAGGACAAAACACTGGTGTAAGTGATTCTGAAACACTTTATAAATAGGTCACAATAGGCTCTTTTGACTTCCAGGATGTTTGAGACTCACGCAGCAGAGGGACGGGCGAGGGGCAGGCTTGGAACTCAGGGAACTCAGAGCTGCCCCGATGGGAATCCTGCCTGGGGCCTCAGCCTGCAGGTGTGGCAGGTGTGGCTCCTCCCCAGCCCCATCCAATCACAGTCGAGCAGGAAAAGGATTCGGGAGAGAACGTGTCCCTGGCTGTGAGTGACCCGGAGCTTTCCCGCTGCGACTCCGTGTCAGCAACTCACCTCGCTACGCTGCACCACACGACTAAGCAGTCAATTATTCAAAAGACACACCTGCCTAACTGAAAAGAAGGAAGCTGATCAGTCAACTGAGTGAGCGGGTGGGGGGACCGCAGCCCCAGGAGCATGCCTGCCCCGGCCCCGGGGAGCGTGGACTCGGGGTGACACGTGTCGCCCGATCAAACATGCCGAAACGGCCTGGGCCACGTGGCGGAGACGCTGTGCAGCCACGGGCCACGGCCGCCTGGAGACGCAGGGGCGGGACACAGGCCTTTCTGGGGCAGGTAACCCAGGACAGGGTGGCAGCACCGGCCTCCTTCAGATTTGGTGAATGTTCGTAAACCAACAGAGCACGTTGGGATGCAGCAGCGAGGTTCATTTTTTTTTTAAGTCCCGGATCAGAGACTCTAAGATAGAGCGGGACTGTGCGGTCACCCGCTGGGCAGAGGGGGACGCGGCTACCTGCCTCGGGGCCTGTGGGATCTGGGCACCCGGCTGCTCCAGCCGTTTCTCTAAACTAGAAATCGCAGCTCCTCAGCTGCCCTCCGAGTGACCCTGCCCGCCTGGCCTCTCTCCGGGCCAGTAGGCCTGGACGTGGTCCTGGGGTTCCCTCCTCGTCTCCCCCAGCCAAACCGCCCCAGCCAGGCCCGGCATGAGCAAGCAGCAGACACCCACCGACCCAGCAGCAGCCTGGGTCACTCACACACGCACGGGGATAGCACCCCAGCCCCAGGAGCACCACCTGCTCGACGGGCACCTCCACCCACCCCCAGTACCTCCTCGGCTCTCCGCCAGAAGACAAGGTGTCCTGCAGTTCCTGGGGGACTTGGGGCTGCAGCGACCACACCCCAGAGCCGATCCCTCCTGCCTCCGCGAGGAGCCCAGGGCCCGAGGCCGGTTCAGGCAGACGTACCAAGGCCCTGGGTGACAGTGGCCTCCGGAATCACCCAGCCTCACATCTCTCTGGCTGTGTGACCTTTCCTGAGATGCCTCACCTCTCTGCACTGGGCTCGCCAGCTCTCAAACGGGGCCATTACCGGGGGAGACCGTGGGCCTGAAACCTGGGCCACCCAGGAGGTTCAGATCACTGTTCCCATCACCGGGCGGCATCTCCCCGCGAGCCTTCCCGCTGTTCGTTCCTTGGGTTCCTGCGCCACCCCCAGCAAGGCTTGGTCCCCCTCAGTAGGCTGTGACACAGGCTCCAGGGGGAGGGACAACCCAGATTACGGATGCCTCCCTGGCCCCGCCTCCACCCCAACACCAGGCACCGCCCACTGAGGGCAGCGCCAAGGAGGAGCCAGACCCTGCGCAGCCCCCTCCTGCAGGTCCCTGCCCCACCCCAGGCTCTGAGTGGAAGAGAGGTCACCGCAGAGGGCGCCCGCGCTGGTCTCCTTGCCCCTGCAGCTCTCGCGGGCCAGACCCAAGCCTGCGCTCAAGGAGCTCACAGTCCAGTGCGAAAGACCCACCCCCTCCCATCGAGGGCCAGGTGGCGGTGGGGGTCCCATTCAGGGCTGGCAAGGTGGGTCAGGGAGGAATCTGACACCCCAGCTTCCACAAGAGGAAGTGGGGGGGAGGCCCAACAAGGTCCATGCAGAGTGAGGGGGGCCCTTGTACACACATGCATGGAGGGGGTGGGTCACCCCGAAAGCAGAGGTTAGGGTCCATTCAAGGCCCACAAGTGGGTAACCCTGTAAAACCCCTAAATGGACCCAAAGGTGTGGCAGGTGGGGCACAGGCCCTGGGGGCAGCAGAGCTGCTTCAGCGACTTACCAGGAGCCCTCCAACCCTGACTTAACTCACCTGCAAAGTGATGATGAAGCAAGCTCCTCCCAGGGTGAGCAACTGCCCACTCACCCTCCCCTGGGGGACCCTCAGGCAGCCCTCCCCAGGCCCCCGACCAGCCCATCCCCCCAGCAGCCGACCGGGCTTGGGCCACGTGAAGTGAGGCCCCAACATCCAAGG